CCGTAAAAAAATTGTAAATATACTGTAGCGCCATCGTCTAGATGAGTGAGGATTAGAGCATTGGTAAGTGTTAATTTTATATCACTGGTTAAGACATGTTTATATCTCCACAGTGACTTATATTTTCAAAAGCAACTCGAAGTTTATTTGTGATATTGGTTCTCAAATCTTAAATTTGTGTCCAATGAAATTCCTAAATCCTTAGTGTTCTTTACAATTTCAACAGCTGTATCACCTACAACAATGTCTGTACTCATCAGTTATTTGAATCATTAAATATTTAATCTGGAACCAATGCAGCAAGCTTTAGTTTTTGAGGGATTCAGTTTCAAACAATAATTTAAGTAGAGATAGAAAACTTTTGAATTTCCTTTTAATGCTCTAAACGTACGTGTCGCATTATTTGTTTACTCAAAATTATAACTGTAACCTCCCGAATTTGCATCTGTTGACATCAGATGGACATTCCACCGTATTTCTGATCCCATTGCTATTTCGCTACTGTTATAACTGTTCAACGGCAGCGAATCCCATGTTTGCTCCCATTAGGCGAGTCTTGCGTGGTTGGAGGTCAAGATTTCAAAAAAGGTAGGAAAAAATAGATTTGATGAAAGGGTAACCTATTTTACACGATTTCATCACGTTTAGATGCCTACTGACCTGAAAAGCTAATCAGCAACTGCCCTCCAACCTAACTAGCGTCATCTGCTACTAACTTTCCAGATTACCCTCCATTGCGTCAAATGGGCACGTAAACCCCTTTTCTCGCCTAACTTGCGACATCCATGAAGATACAACAGTTGACTAGAGGAGGGACAGTCATTAAGGCGCCTTTGAAAAGGTTGTAAATTGCGCTTTCACGTCGCCTTCAACTCTTTGTACTATTAGCTCAACAACTCTCATTTTAGACGAGGAAAATCTCCGTGTTTCTGATAGCAGAAGGTAACGAGATGTACCAGGTGATGCTTACTTCCTACTGTTCACTAATTTAAAAACTTTAAGCTTCATAGTTTGAATGGACGAACGTTTGTATACAAAAAACATGTTTATCTAGGACCGGGCGGAAAAGTGTAATTTATTTATATTTTTGAGGATTTTCTGACCCCCCTCTTGAACATATCGTCCCTCTTCCCCATATTAGTCCCTCTTCCCCATATTAGTCCCTCTTCCTCATATGAGTCCCGACTCCACCCTACGCCCCTTAGCGCTCATAGCACTTCACGCTCCGGGCTATAATTACACGCTACGTGCCATAACAGCCTGCTTAACACCCTAGATACATAACTAACTAGTATCTATGACCTGGTGGGAAGGCATTCTTTCCGGGCGTTGACTCTCACTTTTCAGCTCACGGAATTCTTTATTCCCTATGGCGATAAAGCAACTTTAGCATACAGGTATAAACTAACATACATATTTTGAGCACAATACAATAGTTCGATCATTTGAAAACTTCACACCATGGATTTATCGAAAACCACTCAATAAAAGAAAAAACTCGAGACACGTCAAGAGATTTGTCAAGCGAGACAACGTTTTAACCAAAACTACTTTACCTCCTTTGACCCTCTGCCCTGCCAGCTTGTTTGAAAAGTCTTTCAAAGTCCCTTTATTTTAACGTTTGATTTTTTAAAATCGGTCGATTCGTCGCAGACAAAGTATTAACACTACACTCTATACAACTTGTATCTATAACATGGGGTCCTATCTAACAAGAATTCCTTACAGTCACAAACGGTTTTTTACAGTGGACCAATCAATTCGATGGCATTAAGGCTCCCACAAACTAAAGCGGATAATTCGTACCACATGCGATTGGCAGTATATTGTTTCCACTGTAGTGAACACACAAGTTCAAACTGGTGCGGTTTCGCAATCAGGTGCGTTTTTTGTTTGATTTTCAGTAACTTTCCAACGTTATAAAATGAGTAAGAATCGAAATGAAGCAAATTACTGAATTAGTTCGAAATTACCCTATAGTCTATGACCTAAAACTATAAAAATGTTCGCAAAAAGGTTTAGACTAAATAGGTGGAGAGGAAAGTGTTAAATTCACCATACTCTCTTGCAAGATACGTACATACATGGTAAGCTAAATTATTTTTCCTTAAATTATATTCTTCTATTGCAAATAATAGTGCCTATTTTTTATCCGATGACGAATACATTTTTAAAGTTAGCGAAGGTGCTATACTTTGCTAATACTAGCATTCAATCTTTTCTATACTGAAAATAAGACGTAGATGTTGCAGTTATATTCGCTTCGGTGTGAAGCTTCATCCAGAAATCCCCATGAAATTCAATGATTATGTTTAGTTGCACCCAGTTGCCACGAGCTAGCGCTGCGTGAAGTAATTCAGCCTCGTGTGCTAGATATTCTATGAATGGACGACTTGAAAATTTTTAAAATCTTGAGATTGTCTCGCAGAAGTCACGTATGTGAAACAGGTTAATCTGGCGTGTGCTAGTTGTTGGTGAGTACAATGATCAATTATTGAACGACATTCACAACGCACAGGCCACAAGTTAAACGTATCACTGATAATTATTAAACTCTATTTCTGGCTTGAATTTCTTTCTTTCTCGGGATCCTTGTATTTGTACCTAACCTGTCAATCAATACTAGCCTCCTGCTCTATTAGAGATTAACGTAATACATAGCAAGCGCTAAAATTACTTTATCGCCCTAGGGGCATAAAGGCGTCCGCGGGCTGAAACGCCCACAGAACCTAGTCATAGAATACGCTCTTGGGCTTGTTCAGACGACAGATGTTTGGGTAACTGGTTATGTAGGCTGTTGCCTATATCATGTGCTTAAATTACGCACCATTTAAAAGATTTATTGTGCTATGCTAAATCTGGCTTCTGTGGATTGAAATAGTGTTTCGGCCTCTCCCATTGCTACTTCAAGTATCTATACAAAATAGCCTCATTTCTGCTCCATCCTAATGTAAATAGACGGTATTCTGTTTGTCGTTGTACTAAATGAATGCTTGTTTCCAGCACCAAGCGGCCGCTCAAGCTCTGGTGAGTGAGAAAACTTTCTCTATTTTCTCACTTTGCAACCGCTATTTTTTCTTTCCGCTTCGCTTTTGCACGCTTTAGATTAGATTTTGCTAATTTAGTAGATAGCATATAATCCAATCTAAAAATTCTTGATAAAAAGGTAAAGAGTATCAAAAATACAGGGTGTTTGGTGCATCGTTTGCCAAATTGAAATAGCGGATAGAGGAGATCTTTTTCTATCACCCCAGGTCCCTCAAACAGTTTTCAGCCCAACGGCATTAATATGTAGATTTTTTTAATTTTTTTTAGTAAAAACTCCAAAATGTAATACACAAAGTGATATAAAAAAAATAAAGAGTATGTCCACCTAATGATTAATATATCTTAATGAGTGATGTTGTACCTGCCAATCTTACAAAATCAACATTACTTGCCAGCAGCATGTAGTTTTTTATTTATAAACTCACAAAGGGTTACAAAGAAGAACAAAAAAATGTAAGTCTCAATTTTGAATTTCTGTAAAAAAAACTAAAATCGTTCACGTTTTTAGAATTCTGTTAAAAACTACTTTATCCCGATTCTAACGGTTTGCCACAAGTCACAAAAAAGTTTAACTAACTTATTGAATTTGAAAATTTTGTGTACAGGGGAAGGAAAATAAAAAAACGTGTAAAATCAAATTTCAATCATTTACTATTTTTTCTGTTTCACAAATCTTGTTCGAATTGTTGTCCTTTATTGCGTATGCATGCACGACACCTTTGTCTGATCTCGACGGTTGTCGTACGTAGGCGAATTTCTTGCCGAATCGTACCAAACGCCTCTTCTATTATTCGGATCAACTCCTCCCTTGTTCCAACTTCTGTCGCGTAGACGAGTGCTTTTGCACACCCCCAGATGTAAAAATCCAATGGAGTTAGGTCTGGGAGCGTGCAAGCCATGGAATAGGACCATCTCGTCAAATCCACGCATTCGGAAAAACATCATTTAAATGCTCCCGTACAATTAGCCTCCAGTGTGCAGGACAGCCATCATGTTGGAACACAATTCGTCTGGCGCCAATTCGGGCAACTTATTTTGCAGAACAACATCACCCATTAAGATAAATTAATCATTAGGTGGACGTACTATTTTTTTTTTTTACTTCACTTTATGTATTTCATTTTGGAGTTTTTACTAAAAAAAAAAAATAAAAAACCTACATAATTAATGCCGTTGGGCTAAAAACTGTTTGAGGGACCTGGGGTGATAGAAAAAGACCTCCCCTGTCCGCCATTTCAATTTGGCAAACGATGCACCAAACACCCTGTATGAGTCCCGCATTATCAAATAAATGTGACCACTCAACTACTGAAACTTAAAAGTTATGTATGGAAAATTATCATATTCCATACAAATGATTGGCTCTGGAAGCTACGTAGGCGTAAGCCATCTGGACTACATCTTCTATCATTTTTTGGCTTCGTGGAGAATATTTTGAATAGCTACCATTTGCTTTTCAACTGTGGAGTGCTTGATTTGTTGACAAAAATCCTACTTTTTAGAAATCTCACAGACAAACGTCTGAGAACGTTAAGTCTGGTGATCTTAGGGGTCAAACCTAATGGAGTGATAATACGCTCTATAAAAAACTTCAAAATATTCAACATTTCTCTAATATCTGTATGATACGTTATTACTTCCTGATCGAACCATATTCCTTGTAGGTTAAGTTGTCACATTTAAGTAATCACAACACTGTGATATGATGCAAAATTCGACAGCTTATTCTACAAGAAATATAGTTCTAGCAGGACGCAATAACATGTCAGACATGAGGAAAAATTACGCGTGTTGAACTGATATAAAACAAAATCAAGGTAGCCCAGGTTTGTGTTGCTTCATAAATGCAAACTTTCAATAAAGTAGTAAGATGAATCATTTGCATCTTACTTTAAAGGAATTAGAAGGACAAATAAGTCAGCTATACATTGATATTTAGCTGAAGATTATTAATCGTATACCACCTATTAATCTTCTGGACTCACAAAAATGAAGTAAAATGCTCCAGCAGAAAATCAGCGATCAAGGTACATATTGCAGATTAATGCACTCAGTCATGGACACAACCTAAATAATGTATCTGATATTGTACAAAGACTTTATAGAGGAACTGCATACGTGCGTTTTGGATGATGTCGCTGTAGCATTTGCCTCTAATAACTTCAACAGCTTTTGAGCAATAGCCGGCAACATTTACTTGAACCTCATACAGCAGAGTCTTAAAATTTGGCTAGTTCAGTTTAAAGCACCTTGATTCAGTCTTAACGTAACAGTATTAAGAAGTCAGCCATTTTTTTAAAAGACCTATAGCAACAATCTATATTTTGGAGATTTTTTATAACAATGTTTTTCAGTCAGGATTAGCTGAGAGCTTTCAAAAATCATCTGACTCACATTTGACTGTAAAATGAGTGTTGTAAGTAATGTCATTTTTTAGGCTTTTGAGAATGTGAATATTAGTAACCCATGTACTCGAATGCGAATACTTATAACAAAACGGAAAAAAGTTCTTATGAAGATTGAAGCCTTTGTTTGTTCTTTACAACGCATTTAGTTTCGTAAAAAAATATGATTGTCGTGCATGTAAAGACATAAAGTAAATAGTTTCTGCCTATTTTAGAATGTTCTTTACCTATTTATTCCCTTTTTTAATAATGATATGATTTTCGTTTTCTATTTTTCTGAAATCTATATTCTCAAAGTAATATTACGAAATTTGTTATTATTTCAGTCGCCTAATTACAAAGAGCGATTTAGCGCTTTAGGGCATTATTCAGCAATAAGGGTTTCTGCAAATCGGGGTTTTTATTTGCAGAAACTGGTAAGTAGTAATATGATGTTTGACATACGGTTGCGATAAAATATGACTTCAATAGTTTTTTAAAAAGCAAAGAAATGTCCTTGGACTTACCTGTTTTTGAAACCCATTTCGGATTTAGTACGTTTTGCTTTACAATTTAGATGAGCTTACAAAGTGACCACTATATCAGCTTCCTGAACGTATCCTATTCCACACATCTCTTCCGCATTATGTTCTCTACCATCGGTTTCATCTTCCGCTTCCTCTCCGAATTTTGTAGCAATATCTTAGTAACACATAAGATTCTCTATTTCGGATTTGCATAGCGGTTCATTCACATTGTCTAACTTCTAAGGCTTATATCTACCTCGTTTAATTATATTTGATATTCAGCTTTTTGACAGATTTGCATCAAATTGCATTTCAATAAGGTCTTACCTGACTGGTTTTCCTGTCGGTCAAATCAATACATGTGGAATGAACTCTAAGCCTAGTATGTAAAAACGCATCAAAACATACAATAGTTGGACTTTTAGGGTTTTGTTTCTCAGGTATGTAGGACACATTCAGATATTATGGATTTAGGATGGTTTGATACTATATGTATATAGGGGTTTTTGGAATTATAGAATTACAGGATTTACAAACCAACTCGGGAAATAAACAACTATTCTGAAGGTGATTTCGCAAATTTTAAAACGTATTTTAGACTTTCTGTGATCAGACACTATCTCAATTTGGTTAATAAATTGATTTGACGGACTCATTTACGCATGCGAATGCAAACATTCGTTGCATCACTACTACCTGTGCTTAAAGCGTGATTGCAATTCTGATTTTTATCATATTCATACGTTTGATCAAGTCTATTTTATAGATGACAGTTCCGATAAATGGATTTGCCATTTTGCGAATACAGTGGAAAGACCCGAAACTGAAGTATTTCGTTGCAACGGAATCAAATGCCAAGGTGAATTAGGCGCCCCTTCCATGGAACAAATCCTCTGAAATTGAAATGGAAATCGAGAATGCATCTTGCTTTATCAAGGCCGATACTTTTACATTTATTTGTATCATCCTGAAATCCGATTTCTTTAGGAAGATTAAAGTGATTGAATATAAAATGAAAAACGAGCTTACCAATGAACTTTGTATAGATCCTATTCTTGCTGTGTTTTTCTTATACTGATGCAGCCACGAAGGCAGAAACCTAACACCGAGGAACCACGACCCCCATAAGGATCTTAAAGACTAATTAAAAGTTTAAATAAACTAATAAATTTTGTTATCGAAAAACTTGAATAAAATAAGAGTAGGTACTAACGAGACACTTGAGATTGCATGTTCTGTACCAGTTGGTTGATTCTAGGTTCTGTTTTTGCCATAGCTATCATCAGGTCGCTATCGACATCAAGACGATTTCGCTGTTTAGTTTTAATTAAAACTAGAGCAGAAAAGCCCGTCTCAGATGAATAAGTCGGAGAAAAGCAAGAGAGGCAAGTGTCGCATTAACAGGCAATCTTTTAATCCAAAATTTCTACAATGTTAAAAGATGTAAGTCATCTTTCATGTACGAACTAGCCTTCATTTCTAGAAATTCTTCCTGAACTTTTTCTGGTAATTGGTAGATCAATAAATCTTCAAAACTACTGAACTTAGGGGCTGCACGTGCTAACGTGATTTTTTGCCAAACTTGTGTCCCCCTCGAAAACAAAATCGACGCATCTGAGCGTTTTTCAAAAAAAAACTGAGCTGCCAGTAAATGCGTCTGTTTCATTTTCGATGCGCCACCCTGTATTATAGCTTATAGCATCCGACGGAACTGTTATAGAATAGTATGTTGTATTTCCGAAAGCCTAGCAGAGAAAACTAATGGGACACTTTTGTCGAGTTCTCTCGTTAACAAGTATACTCCAGCAGCAATGCAAAAAAGTAAACGTGCCTAAGTAACGTGATAAGTAACCAGCATGGTGGCAAAACAGGAATGTTAACGTCCATTTTGCGTCCAACGCATCGTGGTCAATCGGGATTGAGCGCCCTTCTGGGTGCCCTTATGACCGTACAAAACGCGTTAGTTGGCTAGCTCCGGGGAAAATTATGGGAAAATTCCCTAGGTGCATTTTCACAGCATCGCTACGTTGGCAGAAACAGAGGCGGAACTGTCAGAGATAACTAAGTAGCATTTATGTCGGTGAAGTTCCACGAAATGCAGGCAAATATCACGATGTTAACATCTTGCTACGATCCTATGGACAACACGACTTGACTCATGTTCAGTTGTTACTGATACCAGTAATTCATAACCAATGCATAGTTAAAGTTCAACGTATTAAAAAAGTACCAGATAGATGGGAATGGTCTTGCAGAACCTGAATCATGCACTTGATGTGAAACTGTTCATAGTCAAGATTCGACGAAGTTACAACTTTCTGCCGTTGCCGTATCCGATTCAACCATTAAAAGTAAGCCTGCAAATTACGTGTTTACGTGTTTCCTCGTCTTAATTTCTACTAATCACAAGCGCGCAATTTTGAATTACAAATGGTTTCTAGATGGAAAAAGTGTATGACAGCATCTGTTAGCTTACCCGCGGCAAAACTTGACAGTTGTTGTTACCAAAAATTACAATACCTTTGATAACAAGTAATTATGGCCTCCCAGTACACCAGAAAACGACGTTAAGCAATTTTTCTGATTTTATTGTCAATAAATTTTGTAACGTTTTTAAACAGTTGCAGAAAAACTTATATAATATACCATTCGAGCTTCTAATTTTTTCCTGTGACAAAAATGGGAAAAACACAATGCAAAGTAATATTTTTTCAACAAAACATTCGTGCAGGTGTAAACATCCTCATGCTTCTTGTTAAAATATTACTTAGCGACGCGTTTTTTCGATTTTTTTCGGAAAAATTAGATACCCTTATCATATTACTTATGAAAATACAACGTACAGTAAACGGTATCGGTGCTGAGCACTACTGAGTTACTCCGAGTTACTCAGAGTAGCTCAACAGGATCACTGCAAAGCAGCTTTTAAGGACAGCATCACATATTTCAAACAAAGACAGCGATATGCAATTTCGCTCCCGCTAGGCGGCGCTTGTCTGGTTTGGGGGTCAAACTGTTAAAAGTAGATAGGAAATACAGATTTGATACAGAGGTAACCTATTTACGCGACTTTATCTCATTTTAATGTTTATTGACGTAAACAGCTGATAAGCAATCCACACCTTTGTCTATTTATAACCTTAGACATGACCTCCAATCTAACTAGAGCCATCCACTTTTAGTTTTCCAGATTATCATCCATTTGATATCAAATTGGTATACGACAGCTAACAACCTGTTAAATCCTATTTCAGGAGTATCCATCACGTTTGGACGTCTACTGAAGTGAACAGCTGATAAGTAAGTGACATCGTTTGTCACGCCTTCTTTTGGTTAATTAATAAAACATAATGATAAATACTATCTAACGGTTGGTCCAAGCAAAACAGTTGTCTAGTGGCGTGCCAATTTAGGCAAAAAAAACGCACATGTGCTCCACTACTGGTTGTTTAAAAATCTACTCTACTCTCTGTCTGAGATAAAACTACTCATTGAAAACAATCGCACTTGGAGCAAAACCATGTACATTTTTTTGTACAAGAAAAGTAAAGCTAAGGCAAAAAAAAGATAAAAACGTACTAAACTAATATACCCTTGTTCTAAAAAGTTATGGCAGCTCAAAAATCAAAATCATGATCAATGTAATAGAAGGTGCCTTGTAGGCATTGCCCCATATTTAAATATGTAGAATGTCCAATAAAATCAAGAAGTCTCTAAGAATTTCAATAAGCAATAATAAATGTATAAAGATCTATGAAACTTTTTATCAGAATGATATTTTACCTGTTCACATCAGGTTTTTTTTCAAGGGGATGGCTTCCACCAATTTGCAAGATGCAACCAACTGGAGGAGAAAGGATGATGATTATCTTCTGTTTCTATTGACTAGAAGAAATCAGATATTGGACGAACGTCATCAGGACACGCATTAAGGCACGTGGTCCGAAGGTATATAAAAAAGAACTTACCGCTGCGGGTCAAAATCCCATAAAAAGAATGGAAGACGTACTATAGCACCCAAACCAAAATGATTAAATTCAAGTTATACAAAAAAGGGGTGCTAGTTCATGAATTGGCGCTTGAGGCCTAATATCCCAGAGTCCGGAAAATGACGAAACGACCCCTGTACCACGACCTCAACGGAAACAGAAAAGCGAATCACGCAGAACACGTAAAGTTCTACAAGGAGGTATCTTGAGTGGCCTTGAAGAAGATATGTTTTGAGTTTTTTGCTGATCGTCAACACCATACTGAATCGCTGAGAAAGAAAGATATAATACGAGTGAAGTTATACAATCAATAAACTATTAAATTTGCCAAAAGAAAATCATTGAAAAGGGTTTGGCCTAGGAATGGGCACTCTATTATCAATGAAGAGAAATTCAAATTACGGATAAGTGATAAATAGTAAGAAAAAAGGTTACGTGATTTTGGCACGTGACACGTTGTATTAGTCGGTAACGTTGGCAATAATGAATCAAGTGTAGTACGAGTAAAACATGCGTGTAGCGTTTTTTTCTGTATGCAAATTAACTTTTCCAAATAAAAGAGTTGTTAGCTAGCACAAAACGAATTAGTAGCGTACAAAACAAAATACGGCTTTGCCTACCTAGCTATATATGAGCAGGCAGCGGCGGTGGCCGCAGTAGTAGACTCTTCGGTCTCCTGATCAGTCGCCGTGCGCTGTGCGGGTTCGAGTCCCGTCCCAGGAGAAATTTTTCTCTTGGCTATGGATGTTGTGATTTTCCGTAGGTGGTAGATGGTCTCAGACTGTCGAACGCGGAGGTACCACCCGGCGGTTCTCGTAAGCGGAGCCAGAATGTGTGCATGTTGCATGCACACGTGCTCCCTCGCCAGAGTCCGTGTGGCGTCCCCCCCCCCTTTCCCATGTATCCCCCTATAGCCCCACGGTACCCAATGAGTGCTTAGGCCTTAGGCCTTCGGAGTAGTTGGAGTATAAAAAAAAGCGTTGTGGGATCCGTCAGAATTATGTCACTTGTTAGTTTTAAAATATTACTTGATAAACTTATTATTCTACCGTAATGGATACTGGTGAAAAATACATTAATATGGACGTTGCGTTGACGGTCATAACCTACAAATGCTTAGCTAGTCATAGCAACGGAAGTAGGAGTAGCTGTGACAACCTCCGTTGACGTGTAACATAACCTCACACGCCTTTAACAGGCTGCCAATTGTATACAAATGTGATATCTAACTTAATAACTAACACACCCCATCATGCGGCCCCTGAAGTCGGAGGTAACATTTAGGTGTGCCGGACCACGTTCAACACGTCTGATATACAAGAGCGTCATCATAGGTTTGGCATGGATAACATGGATATTGGCAGACCTGTTAGATTCATGCAAAAATAATGTCACAGCTTCCTATTGCCCCAGCAATTGCCGCTGAGGCGTAAGTATAGCTGAAAATGAAAATAACAACTAGCAGCCTGGCAAGTTTTCAGTTGTATACCTACATCTGACAAATTTCGGTATGCTGGGTTGACAAATGGAAAAATCTAATGTATTGTAGATCTGACAACCTCCGTTAGATAGACATATTTGTTTTGACATTTCACATAATCTCACTTACACTTGCCAGGTCACAGGTTATATTTTTCACTATACGGGGTATTTCCTAATTAAATGTCAATATTAAGAGGCGATTTTTGCGTCAGTTTTGAGAAAAAAATCTCACATGAACGCGCATTAACTTTCGACTTTTCTTAAAATGAAAATTGAAATCTGTGTTCATATATAAGCAAAGAAACACCCTGCATAGCGATACCAGTGATCCAGCGGTCATTGTGCGGGGCCAGTTCAAGCATCTAAAGTGCTTTTTGTATCATTGTATTAATATATGATTTTCTTTTTCAGTCCGCATCAGTCAGTATCATTGTAGATACTAGCAAGGTCAGTAGAGTCTGATGTACTGTTGCCTATACCTTTCCTCTTTCGTTGACTCTCAAACCTTCTCCGTTACTATGTATAGAATCGATGTTAAATGTGAAACATGATTGTGTATACGTGTGTAAAAAATCAACAATTACTAAAAAATAATGTTGGGACTAAATTTATGTTTTGTGCACAATGGTTAAAGTATAACGGAGATAATGCATGGGTTGTTGCAAAAATATAAGCTTTATGGCTTTGTGTGCTGATTTTTGTAGAGAAATGGAAAATTTGACAAACCAGTTTCATTTCAATGTTGCCGTGTATCATGAACACAGGAAGTGACTCACCGAATTAGTGCCGCTGAACTCCCTTCCTTTTATGGACGTATCAGAAATATGTTTATATGAACAAACCCAGTCAGTCGTACCAATAAATTTGACTTTTATTACTTCTAAAATTCCAGATACAAATTTCTTTTATTACTTTATACCCTTGTAAATAATTGTCTCGATACATGTATGTTAAATAAATCTGAATGCGATTGCATGGACACATCTTTACTGTCTTTGTTGAAAACCCAAATGGATTGTAACTCCCGAAACGTATCCTGCGGTTTTCATTTCGTAGGATTCCATTGTCTAGCAGAATCAAAACCATATTTCAAATCCGTCAACAATGCACATGCAGCATTTTTGTAGTAGAAGGTTTTGGCACGTTCAGAACGACGAACAAGTAGTGCATTGGAAAATGACAAATAGACTCATGCACACTTGTCGCGTTGGGGGTAATGGACGTCCTTTAGGGAGCAGGAATGCCTATACCAGGTATGGACCTCCTACAAAATGGATATGTAATTCCACTTGGTAAGAGAGATTCGGTACGCAAGTTAGGAAACTACTATTTTGAAATTGTTAGAAATTTTTTTAGTCAAATTTGGAAACAAGTTAAATAAAGCTTCGATTTTGAATTTTTATGGGGTTGTTCTGCTAAGTTTTAGTCATAGCATCTGCACAAAATAACCAGACTGTGGAAAATCTATATTTTATCGCGCCAAAATCAGTGTTTTATGGAGCCCAGCGTAGCACAAGCTGTAAAAAATGCTGCTCCGTTCTCTTTTTGTCATTAAGGTTTGAAATATTCCAACATTTCCTTTTACTCCCCGATAAAATTGGCCATTTCGGTACACATTGAATCTCTTCAAAGAGATAGCAGAGTATCGTATATCTGTAGACTGTTGGCAAATCACGTTTTAAATAATGAACGTTGATCTATAATGGAAATTAACTAGTCAACTACAACTATTACTTCGGACCACGGTACATAGTGAGACTTTATTATCCAAGTAGGTTGTATATCTTGAAAAGAAGACCTAATCGAACCTTTGATGGGTGATTTTCGTGATTAGCCAGAACCCGAATCATTTTCTGTGTTGAGCGGTGTTATTTATTGGGATATCATTCACTTTGATTAGAAGTTTTATGCGAGGTTTAAAATAAAACACTGTAGTTTACAATACCAGGAACAAAGACTAAGTACAATTCCAATAAATTCGCACAATTTTTTTGGTTGGGTTCACAAACGTTCACTATCCAGGATATAAAATAAATATATAGAAGACAAATGTTATGTTGAGTTATTGGTTGTTTGCATGAGTAAAGATGCTCTCATAGGACCATGACATTGAGAGACCTATGCATGCTACGAATATGAATATTTTGAAACATGGGGGACTTTTTGAATGAGGCATTTATCTATCTCTTAGAGTGAATAAATAAATCCATTTTTTGAATCCATAGTGCGCACTTATGTATTTACATATTGTTAAAGGCTAAACAAAGGGGAATTGTATTTTTACTGTTGTTCGCGAGGTAGAATAGGCAACTGTCGTTTCATACTCTACTGAACTACTCTACCTAGATACTAATGCTTGTTATATGTTGCATGATTTTCAGTGTTTGTTGTTGTTTTTGTTGCATAAGTGTTTATGATTGCATATGTGTAGCGAATACTACACTTTCAAAATTAATATCGTGATTCGTACATATATATTATAAAAAGTGAAATTTATTCAACGTATACAATATTTATTGTGGTGTGTTAGTAGATATTGTCACTATCGATCTCTATAAGAGACAAAAATGTAACATTCGCCTACTACTTTCCAGATTGAGCAAGGTTGACAACTTTCTGCACTATTTGCATTTCGGAAGTTCTACGTAAACATTATGCTGATAATATGAATACTTATGCCTTGATGTGTTTGAGAAAAATAGTGACGAAGAATAAATAATTAGAATCTAAGAACTGACAATGGCTCATAGACCCAACGTATTTTGTGTTAAAATTACCTACAGATAAGCAAAAAGTGACTAAGACGAGCGCTCATTGCTCATTCATTGCAACATAATCTACTTTACCTAAGCAGTTCTTCAAAATACTACGATTATAACGGTCCTGACATCTTCTAAATTAAAGCTTATCTACAAAGCCGTGCCTAGTTTATTTTAATGCAATTCTTTGTTAGTCAGTTCACGTTTTTAACTATTACATTCCCGAAACCTCCGTGAAAAATTTATTTGCGGCAGATAACGGCCGTTTTGAAGTTATCCTTTTTCAAGGGAATGAAAAATGTCCGCTTCACCGGACAAGTACACAGCATCTCATTTCAGAATTGCAATCAATAAGAATTTTCTGTGATACTGCAGAATATAGATATCTCTAGCTACAAGGATTCCATTTAAAATGTTTCAAGGATAAAACAGAAAAATATCAGGCGCATTCAGAAAACAAATGCTCTTAGTACTTAACTTAAGCGTCGCCTTGATATCTAAGTTGATTCATCAGTGTCCATCTGACACCGAACTTGATTTGACATTTCATTGACACATACGTCATACGCTTTATCTTTCTGAATGCGACAATCAACTTTTACAGAAAATAAGTTGAATAAGCCAATAAGCCTAATATTGTACTTTGCATATAATTTTTTCATTTATAAATTTGTGCAAGCATTCTCAAACAGCTTGCTTTTCCTTAATTCGCGTTACTCCTTTTCTCCTATAGAAGTCTGTCCTAGCATTCACTTTTCTGTAGGTGGTATCAACGAAGTCGTAGGGAGGTCTACATGGTCTTCCGTAATTCATTGAAGTCACAGCAGGGACAGGTTTATCTTTTTCCTGAACAGAAGAGAAACACTGATTTTTCCGTTTTTTTAATGTTCTGCGACCCTGCAACTTCTTCGAAATATGGTGAAAGAGTATACATAATGCACATATCCCTGGAAATGGTGAAGGTGCACACGAGTTTTTTGAACAAACTTCAGCCCAGTAAGAAACACAAGATTTTTCTAAAATAATGAAAATTCTCGGATCCGACGGTAGACAGAGACAGGAAAATTTTATAAAAGCACTTTGATTTTTTGTCACGGTCCTACAAATGTACCGGGCATTTCAAATAGTACCAATAGTCACCATTGGGGTCTCGGAAACGGTAAGAGATACGAAGTCGCTTAAATGGGGGCAAAGTTGCTTACTCAGGTCTCCTAGAAAGTTTCGAAATTCAAATTACTTCCGGAGAGAGACGGAAAAACCGAATTTTTCCAAAATCGTTTTATTTTTTCGTGACTTTATTCATGGTAGAATTACAAAATAAATTGTGCTTCAATATTATCACTTTTTCTCCTCTACAAAATGACATAATCAGAATTTCAATATAACGTTTCATCTTTTGTCCTCTAGCATCAACTTTATCTTTCCTTGCGGACGCCATATTAGATTTTTACGCAAAAGAATAGAGTAATTCTGATTAAAAAAATGTACAATATGTCATACACTGACATGCTAAATCTTAATTACTCCAGAAAAACATAAGTTCCTAGGCATGCCTTGAAATTATCAGATTTCATTTGTTTCGTATATGAGAACAAACCTCAAATTGGACATAGAAACAGAGTTGAGACTGAGAAGAAAGGAAATCAATCGATACGTGAACAATGTACAAAATAACGCACATTTCTGCTATGATTTACCTCTGCCTATTTATGATTATTATTGTTATTACCAGCAATTAAATTTTCATTTTGTGTTCAGGTTCCACCATATCTTTTTATTGACTTATAATTTTCATCCAACAACAAATTCATGGCCAACTAAGGAAATACATCACTAAATTCTGGATTAAAGAGTCCATGACAAAATTCCAATATAGCACCCATATGAAAAAACAAAGTTGGTGATGGAAGTAGAAAGAGGAAATGTCGAATCGAAAATTTGTGTACGTCACCTTATAGAGGAGAATAGGTTACATTGACAACATGCAATTTGTTTTGAAATTCCAGCTCAAATGAAGTCAGGAAAAGATAAAAGTGATTTTGGGATAAGTCTGGTATGCGAAACAAATGATTACCTGATAATTTCAAGGCCTACTTTTCTTGAAATAGATAAGGTTTGTCAGTGTATGACATTTTGGGAATCAGAATTGAAAACTATATCCATCTGTACAAAATTCCAATATGGCGTCCATAAGAAAAAAAAAAGTTGTCGCTGGAGGCCAAGAGACAAAACGTCATATTGAAATTTTGATTATGCCTCCTTGTAGAGGAGAAAAAGTGGCAATGTTAACGTCCGATTTATTTTGAAATTCCACTTCAGATAAAGTCAGGAAGAAATTAAAACAATTTTGGTAAAATTCGGTTTTTCCATCTCGCTCCGAAAGTACTTTAAACTTCGAAACTTTTTAAGCGTCATTTTGGGATAAGTCTGGTATGCGAAACAAATGATTACCTGATAATTTCAAGGCCTACTTTTCTTGAAATAGATAAGGTTTGTCAGTGTATGACATTTTGGGAATCAGAATTGAAAACTATATCCATCTGTGCAAAATTCCAATATGGCATCCATAAGAAAAAAAAAGTTGTCGCTGGAGGCCAAGAGACAAAACGTCATATTGAAATTTTTATTATGCCTCCTTGTAGAGGAGAAAAAGTGGCAATGTTAACGTCCGATTTATTTTGAAATTCCACTTCAGATAAAGTCAGGAAGAAATTAAAACAATTTTGGTAAAATTCGGTTTTTCCATCTCGCTCCGAAAGTACTTTAAACTTCGAAACTTTTTAAGCGTCATTTTGTGAGGGTCGAATTTGAAACATACTATATCTTCAACTTGCTGCATTGGGCCAACCGAAACAAGGCAGAACAAATACAGACTGTTTGTCTGCAGATGAATACCTCGCACTGTGATATATTGTTAATACTTTTTTATATGTGAATGTCTGTAGGCCTTAAGTTGTTCCTGTTTGTACTTTGTAAATACTTATGTTTGTTTTGCTTTTACTTTTATTTAAGTGTACTATGTACCTCCCCCTTAGGACGAGTCTTATGTCATTTCATGATCTACAAGATAATAAATGTATCTATCTATCTATCTATACAAATATACAAACACGAGGAACACTTATAGTCTAATCATATTAGACGAAAATACCCAGGGCTTGCGAAATAATTGTAAAGTACGGTTTTATTGCTGCAAGTTTCTCAAGGGGGTATTCAAAACATGGACACATAAAATGATTACACCAATTTTTGAGGGAAAACTTTTTATTCGACAACAAAGAATGAGAAAACGCGTTTTTGGGATTCAATCGAAAGTGTTGGAAGGAACGAAAAAACTCTACACCTACAAGATGAAACCACACGTAGAGAAGAATTTCTAATTGTTTATCGCAAGACACCTGTTTTTTGGCCATCACTACTAGTTTATTGAACAATATACAGGGTTAGTTCAAATGGCATTTTATAACAAAATACACTAGCTTACCTTGCCGCTATGAACCGCAAACCATTCCGGAGGATAAATGTTATTTTCATGCAAAAAGGATGGGTTACGTTTTTTCTTATAAACAAATTCAAACATTTCGTATTTGTGAGTCATTCGCAACAAAAGATGATAGACACATCCACCTTGTTTTAAAATGTGTAAAGTAACGTATGTTTTTCGAACATCGTAGCGCATTTGTTCAATTACTTACAAATACAAAATGTTTGAATTTGTTTAGGGGAAAAACGTAACCTTTGTTTTTCGCATAAAAATAAAATTTATTTTTCGAATGGTTTGTGATTCATATCGGCAAGATAAACACGAGTATTTTGCTATTAAATGGTCCTTGAGCGTATATTGATCAATTTATTGGGCGGAAAACAGGAGCTTTGGGGTAAATAATTAAAAATTCTCAAAAAACTGCTTGAAGAATATAATCCAATTTTGTTGTTGTAATTTAGAAATATGAATCCTATGGATTTAAATAATTTTAAGTAGTTGCGTGGAATTATCGTCGCATTACCAACAGGTGCCAAAAACTGCATTTTGTCTGGTTTTTTGCCCAGAACATTTTTGCTATTAGTCGGATCTTTATACGTGTGGTCTCATTTTGTGTCTCATAAATACCTAAAAATCTTGTATGAAAGGTTATTTTGTTCCTGTCAACAGTTTCGATTGATTCCCAAAAAGCACGTTTTCTCATTCTTTGTTGTCGAATAAAAAGTTTTCCCACATAAATTGGTGAACCCATTTTATGCGTCCATATTTTAAATACCCCCTTGAACAACTTGCACCAATAAAACCAGACTTTACAATTATTTCGGAGAAATTTGCTAATATGATTAGACTATTACGAATTGTGAGATAACATTACTGCTTAGGTTTCTTAAAATTCAATTACTTAAGCTTTTACTTAACTTTGAATGTTAATACTTTTAGGTTTCTACCTCGAAGCCTGGGTTCACGGATTTTTGAGGTTTTAAGTTTTATTCTTCAAAAAATGCCTGATATTTTTTTGCCCTTTTTGATTTTCAGTTGTTTTTAACCTTTTTGAATATCATTTTCTATGGACACGACTATTCAGTTTTATAATATACCAGATGATATCTCATTAAGCTGAACAAAAATGTTCATGACAACTTATGTATTTTACAGCTTCCTTACAGAGATTCACATGTTTCAGTTCTATTAAGTTACTTAAGTGATTTAAATAAATCTGTCCAACTAAATTATCCAAGGGACAGTACTTTCAAATTAATCCAAGTATTTTGAGTGTAAGCATGTTTCTCCTTGGATATGGTTTATGACATAAAAATCCACTTGTCTGATCAAATAAGCAATTTCAGAATCTCTAGCTTTAAAAATTAGCTTTATGCGAAACTCACAGGTATAAACCAAAGGTGTAAAATATTCCTAGATTATTCTAGTTTGATCCATCGGGACTCATAAAAAAGAATATCACTCGCGGATATTCGTCCGCATGAAGATCTAATACACCTCAATATTCTTATATCAAATGAAAATGCTTCAACCAAAAACTGTGGGTTTTGTTGTTTTTCTCGTCTCCTGATGAATAGGTCTTATGGCGATCCAGACGTATTGCCACTATCCCGGGAGATTCATTTTTTGACGATTTTTTTCTAGTTGCAACTCTCTCTACTTACATTTTCGTCGCTTGACCCCAAGGACAAAGAAACCAGTGGCATACTTAATTGAAATTCGAAATAATAATTGGTTAAAATTTCATAGTGCTTCCCATTTCATCTGTCTCCAAGTTTAGACCTAAGAACTATACCGCACTGATAATACTAATGGTTATGATGATGGAATTAAAAAACAATATTTGGCAATCAAAAAGCGCACGAAATTAATAAACTATTTAGAATACAATATTTTTAGTATTGCTCTAAAAATTTTAGCAGAATATTCAGAGGACCCGGGCATTCACGTTTTTACGTCTAATGCAAGAAGAAAAGTTCTAAAATATTGATGTAAAGGTAAAATCCAATGGTACAAAAGCTGTTTCGGCATTGTCCCACATGTTTACCCAAAATTAGTGTAAATCCTAGAAAATGACATACCTGTTCATGTATATTTTCCCAGATATCGGGAAGGTATCTTCTATTGTCTTTACTCTTCCTTTCATCCCATAATGGAAGCACCTTTGTATAAGAAAAATACAAATCGTATTCGGGCAAGCGATCATACTTGAAGTTGTTGTTGAAGTACGAGATTTCTGGGACGAGGTCCATCTTTGGAGCAACCTATTATTAATTGGAAATATGTTAGCTATAAGCTCAAGCATTCACATGTGACAGGAAGACATAGATGAAGCGATCTGCATTAAAAATTGAATCCATTCATTCTAATGTACAAATATGAAGACAGTAACTCTCAAAAAGCTCAATTCGGGTTTCAACGGCTCTGAAATCAGTCAATCTAGTATGAAGGACGGTTCTGGAATGGCTCATTGTAGAACCCGAATAAGGCTTATATTATCAACCGATTGTCTGAGAAGGAGGGTTATGTTTTTCGTGTATGGGTATGTATTTAGACAATAAATTTCATTTCAAACGGCTTCATATACTTTAACATATGAGGTGTTGTTTGATTTATCTTGGCAGTGCGAGTGACAAACAAAATTCAGCCTTGAAATTCCCATTTCACGGGCTATAGCTTAAATTGCGTAGATTGTGACATAAATGGGTCTGTGTATTTGTCGTGACAATACAAGTGACACTAGGAGTAGGAACTAAACATTTTTAGGATAAAAATGACTGATTTTAAACGCATACTTGTCGGATTTTGACTTTTGTGCTTAAATTTGTCCTGATAGCTTAACCAAATCTTCCTTTTCATTGACCGCATTCGGGCTGTTTATTTTTTTTTTTTTAATGAAATAATCCTATTCTAACATTATTTTGTCTTGGCGATTTTCGAGAATCGCCTCATTTTAATTATGTAATTGCGACTTTCGTCGGCACGCCGACAGCGTAGGTATACAAAACATTTATTTTTCAATCGTAGATTTGTTAGCTAGGTATACAGCTCGTTTGCAAGAATGTGCAGATTGAGAAAGGAGCAAGGATTATTGAATCTTGTAGAAGAAAATCATTCAATAAGCACCAGGAAAGTATCTAGATAAATGCAAGTCTCCAAGACTGATGAGGGATTGTATCCTTTTGTACAAGCCTTCCAAACTGAAAATGTTCTTGCAAGAGTTCGTTTTTCTGAGTGGTTGTTGCACCAACAAGAAAATAATCCGGGCTTGAGCTTGAAGTCCATATTAGTCAAACCAACCTTCACGCGTAACGGGGATGAATAACAAACATTTTCTTTCAATTTTTGGGCTGGCATGGTGAATGGTATGCTCATTGGACCTTTTATTCTCTCGAATCGGCCGGACGATTTACAATTCCTAGACCTCCTACGAAACATTTCACCAACGGCGACAAATTCAAACAGTACTTATAAGAGACACAGCCATAATTTTATTTTTTTACTTTTTGCTACTGTTTCACCACACTTTAGCTTTGTCATTCCAACGGTAGTTGTTTCTGAAAAGGAAAGTCCGAACTTGCAGGACACGCTTTATGCACCTAACAACATTTTTGCAAAACAACACTTATAGGTAACCTATATTTGAACCTCCTATGTCTTCAACAATTTATCAGCAACAACTGGGTATCTCCAGCTAACCCTTTTAACTACTGCTGAGGTATCTCTTATTGGACCAAATCCTGTAAACTTTCAGTACGATTGCTCGTGATCGAAGAGGGCCTAACTTAAGACCTACCCGATCTTCGAACATAAACCTCCTAGCTTATTTCCTGTACGATATCCACGGCTATTTTTACACAACTTTAGTACAAAATCGAATAATTGCTGGATGTAGCTCAATGAGAAACGAACAGGATTCGGTGGTCCTTGAATTTTGCTTGAAGGAAGTAATTTTGTAGATTAAGAAACTTTACAAGCAATTGCAAATAGACACTGTTATTTTAAAAATCTGTACGTAGGTATCTTCGAAATAGTGGCATTTCTTTAAATCGTTAAAGCGCAAATAATCCAAACAACCAGCACTTAAATGTTTGTCCAATGTCTCTCGGTATATCTACAAGGCGGATAAAGGTATCGGTTAATATATCTGAAAATTCTCCTTTTTCCAACCAACACAGATGAATGTCTAGTACCTACTTTACTTTTGAGAACAAATAAAGATCAGCAGGGTATTGCTCAGACTTTTTTTGGAAACTTGTTTTCCCATTGTACCCATAAGGTGAAGACGGAGTAGATCATGCCAAAGTTTGTCGTTATAGTTATGAAGGTAGTGCCAGCGAATGATTTTTGTATCACCCCTTATAAGACTGCTGTTAGACTATTCTGGGTTTCAAACTGAAACTAGAAGTATTAGGAAAAATAAATTTGTGAAAAATGCTGGAAACGTGGATAGAAACATATCTAGAAGATATACGATTTAATCTAACCTAGCACTCGTAAATTAATTTAGGTGTGAGAGTGTGTGTGTTGTTCACTTACCCAGCCTTTCTTGTCGATACTTTGCCATACCTCTTCCTTATTTTTCATAGATGCTATCGGCGTGTACCATGTAGCTTTCCCTGCCATTTTTAGAAAAAGAAAAATTCTCGCTTATCGATTTATTGAAAATCCACGTCAATTGTGACGTACGAAGGATTCGGGTCAACAATACAAAGGGGTTTTATACAATGTGTCTATATAATATATGGTTGTAAAGCATAATAGGAGAGCTGCATCAACCGAAATCGAGCAGCTTGGAGTATCAACGGTTTTGGTTGAATACTAAGGAAATTGGGGTGAGCGGATGTTTACAAATATCTTCGTGAGAAAATTGGGTGAGACTTTTCGTCGGGAAAATGTATAGTGCGTGGCGTCAACTGAACAGCATTTTCTTGTTAGTAACTCGAGACATTGCGAATCATATTTCATGTGTTGGATACTTTGAGCTTGAATTGCACATACGATCACATATGTACACCTATATGCACTGAATAACTTGACCTTGGGAAATAACGGGGCAGAAGTAACCACAAATTCCGAAAGGATCTTTTACCTAATAATGCCTTTATGAAAATAGAGCATTTGCAGTTGTTTGTTATCGATCATTTTCAGAAAAGTGTGTTTCCCCAGTCCCGGATCAAGTGTCTATACATCACACATTGCAGTTTCAGGATATAAAAGCGCTCAACCAATAATCATATTTACGCTTTGTACATTATTGACGTCTCTAGCCCCAGCAACTGTATCTCTATAATGACGACCCTGCGCTGATGCCAGAATCGTGGTATGGTATCTTAGTCTACGACAGGTTTATAGAAGAAATATCCTTGACTAATATAAATTAAGCATTCAAAAACGCAAGTAATAGATTACCTTGTCATTACATTGACTAGTTTCTGTGTTGCGAGACCAGTCTTGAGAACTGAAGTCTCACGACCGGTCTAACAACCAACGGTGACTTTATCACTATATTCGATTTTATTGTTCATATCCTTTTCAAGGTTTTTCGCGGATCAGTTAAACTACAGAGATTACTTCCATACATCCATTTCATCTCACTCATACATATCGAATCGGCCTCCATGCGTGGACGTTTGTATAAGCGCTCACATTTATGCTTGTCAATACCAGCATCATAGCCTGCTTGTCATGGGCGTGCGGGTTTACCTTTTCTTGATATTCTGTAGAAAACATAGCAATGCCTGAAGATATACTACAATGTCGACAGTCTGTTAAAATTTATCAGAGTATTCTGGGAGAGTTCACATAGTTCACTTATTTCGTATCATTTTGTGACTCAACAGTCAAAAATCGTGAAAAGAACTATATACTTATTTATATATCCTTCTTCACCATCGTCAAATTCAGTCTTACACTAGCTGAGCCGACAGGCGTTGTCCTATCTTAGGGCCGAATCTTCAGTCGTTCCTACAATTATTGTAGGACGCTTTTATAGCCTCCTTGATTTTCATAGTTTTCTACTGTTCCGTGTTAGCGCTCTATTTTGAGATTATGTTGCAATTAACCATTTGCATCAAATTGTTCATGCTTTTGATTTATATCATCTGTTATATCGGCCTGAAATTTCCTACAATTCAAAAAGACAATCTAGCCTCACAATAGGAGAGCGCTGACGCTGACACTGAGCAGTAGAAATCTAGAAATTCCCCGGCCTTTCTGGGGGAGAGAAAATACTATGAAAATCAAGGAGGCCATAAAGGCGTCCTACAATTGTAGGAATGTCTAACGATACGGAACTTAGCTATGAACTGGAATGAATAATGGATAAAAGGGTAAATATATGGAATATATTTAAATTGTACAGCGAAGTGCTTGTACCGCCATGTGTCTAGCAAAATACGTTGGCAGCACTGTCATTCCCCCCATCAACTCCAGGTCCTTCATTTTTAAACTTGAAAGCCTTGCAATGTGAACTCACAACGTTTATTGGTCCAATAGCAACGATTTGTTGTGAACTGTAATCGATTTCCACGTCATAATTGAATGCAGCTCGATTGAGATTAAATGCAACACTCCTACGTTGTTGAATTTCAGTCCTTCGATCCGTTCAACTTCATTTCTCGCTTTTTGTTACTCGTCAGTTTCACTTCTTCGTATATATCTTTGACTTTCAGCATTGCGAGTTCTGGGACCTAGGTTGGTACGTCTAATTAGGCATTTTGAAGAATCACAATTTTAATATAATACATGTTTGCGGTGAACTAGCTTCCACCCTTGTTAATTATTTTTTAACAAATACTTCTCAAAAAACTAACTGGACAAACTGAAAACTGGATAAAAGCTCTAATAGAATGGACTGTGCACTACTAATTAAATAAATATTAATATTTTTTCATTGATAAACATTGTTAATGAATGAATGAATGAATCTTCAAATTAGAGGCATTCCGGCCACCATAAGGAGCCAGTGCATAGCCTGCTTAAGCGGGCCCTTATACACCTCTACATTGTTGAACGATCATATAAATTTGCGGCGTGCGAGCTGACAAGTTCAAAATGATAGAATAGTGAAAGTCAATTAAGCAGAAGACACGTATTTTCATCCGCCATTTTTATTCATCTCATTGTTCTCAAGTTATGGCGTGATCACGGGAAATAGGTATTCATTTATATATATATAAATATGAGTATAGATATATAAAATCAATTGTTGATTGGGAAACTGGTAAAAAAAAATATGGGCTTTAGTAAACTCTTTTAACGGTAATCTCGAGCTTTCGGTTTCTCTATGGAACCATCTTCAGGAGCTCAAACACAAATATGAAGCTAGCAACCAATACGGACAGGATTTAAATTTTCAGACAACTTACTCGTCGCAGAGGTTGCAGCCAAATGGTATTTCAAGACGAAAACGTGGATGGGAGCACTTGTTGCAATTATGAAACCAAAAGGACAGACACATTTAGTTTATTGATAACGACGGAAACCATCGTTAGGTGTTAACACTATATACCAATACACCCGAACATATTAAAAATTATCGAACTGCAATTTTGGGGGGAAAAACGGCATATATACATATATATATATATATATATATATATATATAGATGAAAAAATAAAGCTTCCGCCTTTAGTTGGGACAAGGCGATGAGGACTCTTTATACTTTTAGTCTCTAGCTTTCGACGGGTTATGCCGTCATCATCAGGAGCTACAATAACATTAGGAAGGAATAGCAACTATTCAATGTTTTCCTCAACTTAACCTTTAATAACATTTAGCAACAATCTCACATACTATTATAAGTAATTTAAAATCATTTTGCAGAATAGTTGCTATTTCTTCCTAATGTTATTGTAGCTCCTGATGATAATGACATAGCCCGTCGAAAGCTAGAGACTAAAAAAGTATAAAGACTCCTCATCGATTTAATCTTGTCGAAGTACCCAACTAAAGGCGGAAGCTTTATTTTTTCACCTAACTGGTCTAGACGACAATGACCACGACTCAAGTCTATATATATAACCGTAAGTCAACAATCATGATGTTTCCAACTCGTTTCTCATATAGTCTGGAAATATCTACTTGCCAGCTGTCAGAATAACAAACTCAAATTAATGAACGGAGCGGGAGTCAGATTTGGTCAGGTTTGGACTGATCCAGCACCATTTTCATTGGGAGATATGTGCGAAGGTTGGTTCATCATGTTTTTCTTGTACTACCACCAAAGACAGTTATCTAATATTTTTTCGATTGTAGAAATATAGCTAGCAAGTTATGCCTAACTTTAGCCACTTCTCATTGGTATTTAAATATTTTCAAAATGACATAGCGATGTTAACAGAATACAGCTTTAAATAACATTAATTATTTACCTACGTATTTTTTATCATTATTTACCTAGGGATGGAAAAGCTACTTCTACATGGAAATTTGTGGTCAACAATGTCGATTTCTCGGGTTAGTGGTGAAAAAGTTGTCGTCAAGATTTTGTCAGTTTCAGCTTCATTTAGTTGTAAGTTATGATGCGGATAGGACATGAAACATAGGAACCAGAGAGTCCTACATTCCCGATTGGGCCGGTTCCACGATGGTCATTTGAGACATTAGGTTTATTCCACTCTCGATCTATATTGTTTTCTAAACATACGCTTACTTTGCCTTCACTGTATAAGGAAACCTGAATAATGGGCCCAATCGGTAAAGGTATGCAGCTTCCCCTTCCGTATTTTCAAAACAACCTGCATAAGTTCACCAAATATTTTAATCTTTAGCTACCAATCGCAATTACTTCTTAATACCTTCCAACTGCTGCATAAGTAAAATATAGAAGGCATTTGTTGCTTCGACCTTTAAGAGAGCATTGACATTTTCATATCCATATTTAAAATGTTAGAGTTTATGTACGCTTTTACATGACGTGTCGTGCATTTATCGATTCTCAATTTGTAAATTACATACTCTGACAGTAGCTTATCAGCCAACATGCAACCTTAGGGGATCCAAAATGTTTGTAGGAAAAAGCACTGGGCCTGCTAAATTAATTATACAGGGTGATTCACGAAGAATTGCGACGATAGAGCATTTTTGCAGCAGAAAATGGATATTTAAAAATATCAAGAAAATCACTAGTTTGCGAAGTCTATTACTTTACATAAAGCTATCCTAATTCTAAAGCTTAATATGATCGAATTATAATCTGTTTGAAAATATTGACTGATATGGATTTTCTCGGTTTGATTAAATTTTTTAGTTAGCCTATCTCATTCATTATCTAAATAACGGATGATATCTACTGCAGTTAGTTTAATCATATTAGCAAATTTCTCCGAAATAATTGTAACCTTATTGGTGCAAGTTGTTCATGGACGTGGACATGGACATGGTCGCAAAAATGAGTACAACAATTATTATATTATTTTATTTGACATCAAAGAATGGGTAAACGCGTTTTTTGGGATGCAATCGAATGTGTTGACAAGAACGGAAAAACTTTTTATATAAGATTTTCAGGTATTTATGAGACCTACAGAATGAGACCACACATAAAAAGATCCGACTAATATCAAAAATGTTATGGCCGAAAAACGAGGCAAAATGCAGCTTTTAGCACTTGTTGGTAATACGATAGTTTTACGTAACTCCTTGTAATTCTTCAAATTCGTAGGATTTGTACTTCTAAATAACAACAACAAAATTGGAGTAG